AGCAATTAGCGGCAACGCCAATTTCCCTTACTTTCTGAACGAAGGCTATCCTCGGTGAATCCTATGATCTCGTATCCTTAGACACACCCCATTATAGTTTTCCTCTGTGGCATCGTCGGGACGGAAATTTATTCCTTCTTGCGATCTCATCAACGGAAAGAGTAACACCTTGCGACCCGTGATTATTACGCGTCCGACTTAGATTTTGTGAGCACGTTCATCTATCATCCCGGCGACCGCGGATTCGTTATTGAACCTAGGATCATTGTCATTAGTTTCTCGAGTATCTAATTACCACGGTTAGTTGCCCAGTTCTATGATAATCGTATTTGCACTAGTCAATGTCTTCTCTATTGCATAACGACCCGTATAATCCAAACGAAGATTCGTTTCACGCCCCTAGCCCTAGTTCTAGTGTGGGCCCGACATAGTATTACATCTTGCCCTAAGAATAGGGTCTGTGTGTGGCGAGCCACGAGACAGAAACCGTTGGAATGTTTACTGTCGAATGCCGCTAAAACTATGTCTTTTTTTATGGAGAGCTATACAATTTCTGTATACCTCTATTAGGTAAGAACGTTCATCCCGTGACCGGGGCTACGTTTAACGACTAGTTGTCAGTTTGGGCCTAAGCTTATTATCAAAATCTGGGACAATTATAATCGGGTTAAATCAGAAAGACTAAAGTATTGGAGATTTTCTTAAGAATTCCAAAGGGAAGGCTCCGGTGTCCTTTCATCTTCGACATATATACATCTTAAGGGTTTTTTACCACCGTCAGAATTATTCGATCGCGACGACTATTAATATGTTTCCTTTCATTGACACCTATTTATAGTTATTGTAAAAATGTACGTATAGATATCGATAATTACATGGACGGTATATTTTGAAATTTTCGTAATTGTTTTTTGTAATGGTTAAATATCCTCATCCGTGTGATCTTACAAACGTCACGTTTTTCCTGTTCAACCTTCAAATCAAAATTCCTAATTTCTGCTTCTCCTACAGAGTCTAGAATATCATTATCATCGTCGTCATTGAGATCACGATCGATTAACAAGTCACTGTCACTATCTAGAGAGCCATCAGTTTCATTTGATTCTTGAATAGTCCCTCTCTGACGTCCAGACATACTTTCGTAAATATGATGTTGTGATATTTGCATTCTTGATGGTCGGCCAGCTATTGTATTACAAACATGTTTTAATACTTATTAATTTTGTTAAAATAATTATATATTATAACATGCTCTTAAAAATGTTGAGAAAAAAACTGCACTATATTTTTACCTGATTTCAATTAACTACTTATTGTTATTTTCCCGGTATTTTGTTTTTCTGTATTAGCGAGAGGAGACGGAGGCTCTTGAAGATTAATAGGTAATATAGAATCATTTCCTTCCATTATGCTTTCAAACTTAGCATCTTCAGCCTTCATGTTTTCTAATTAGTTTCGTTTTGTTTCTTGCCTATTATGAATTGGAAAACATTATATTATGTTTTCTGCATAGTAAGCATTAATTTTTCTTATTTCTATATGTATCATCTTTCAAATCTTTCTTGCTCTGTCTTAGCTGCATCTTCATACAGATATTCAAGGTATGCAAAGTAACGAAATTTTTTTATGTAGTCGTCATATAAAACTTTTAATTCAACTTCAAATTTTTCAAATTCTTCCATAAAGACTGGGTGTACCTTTCTTGATGTTCGTAATCTCTATTAGTTGCTGTCAAGCTTTGCACACCATCTTTCGATTCTTGTATCCAAACTTTGCTCTGTGTCCTTTAATCATTAAAGAAATTATAATATTTAGAGATTAGAGAAATTACTAAAGAATATTTTACTGTTCTAAGAATAAAATGAAGAGGTAGTAATACCTTAACATTCTCTTAACATTTGTTTTTTAGTGTCATCAATTTCTTTATGTACATTTTCTATAACACTTTTAAAGGCCATCTCAATTTCTGTGATGTCAAGTTGTCTAGCAACTTTTGAGTTATGAATCTCTCTGAGATCAACTTCACAACCTAATAAGTCAAAAAGTGATGTACCAGTAACAGTCAATTGACTGGCTAACTGCCTAGTTGATTTCAATTCAATTACTTTATTGGAAATGTCAAAACTAACTGAACTAAAATTACCATCAGACATTATACTGTTATTATTACTATTATTTTGTGCATCGTATAGTAATGTGGGTACTTAGTAATTCTTTTACAGCATAGCCATCAGCTTGGTATAATTTTTTTGTATTTAATTTGACATTTGTTTTTAAAGCCTGTATTAAAATCATTTGACAATGATAAATTTCAGTATAAAAATATAAAAACAACATAGTATAAACAGTACAATATTAATTCATTAAAAAATACAAATATTAATTTGCTATTTTTATTTTTTTATAATTTTATTAATGAGAAGTTGATACTTCCAGAGGAACTTAAAATTAAAATTAGAAACTAAATTAATTAGGTAACTTTTCTATGCATGTTTAAAAATTAAATAATAATGAAGAAATAAACATAGAAGCTGAAAATATAAATTGTAAAATTCGATGATGAAACATTTTATTTTCATGAAATATAAAACTAAAACAATTAAAAATTACAAACTGTAAGTTTTATTACCATAAATTCAACAACTGCACATATTAATGAAATATGCTCTTCTTCGGTATTATGATCATTAGATATATCCGCATCTGGGTCAAATCTTTTGAACAGCCAAACAAGAATTTCAGCACCCAGTGGAAAATTTGGCAGTCGAAAATTTCCAACAGAAATTAATCTAGGATAACCAAGGACTTGCATCATTTCCATAAAATCTATCAAAAAAATAAATATAATTATCGTATCACGTTATATTTTGATTTACGTTGAGCACATTGTCAAGGAAATATCGAATTTCATACATTGTATATACATATATATAAAACACTATTTTTCTTTGAATCATAGGCTCAAAAGAAGGCCTTCGAAAATATTACTCAAAATTTTGATTCATATATTTTTTCTACTTCTGTTGTAACCATAAATACATACCAAATTAAGAAATTTAATTGATATTATAGTAACTAAATCGTAATATATCAATTTTTGTAAAGAATTTCAAGTTTATATAATGTAATACTCATAATTCGCAAATGAATGATGGTACATAATGGTATTCAATATTTACATCAGAATGACAATTATTAATTAATTGAATTATTTTTTTCTAAAGTGGATTAATAGATTTTAGAAAATTCACAAAAATTAATAAAGGTCAAATTAATAAAAATTAAGAAAATCACCATCTAATATTAAAAATCACTAATATTCGAAATCATTACTGCTATAATAATGCATACATATATTTTCTATGATTATATATTTTGTATTATATTTCGTTTATTGAAAAGTGTATTGTTGTATGTGCAACATATAACATAAAGAAGATTAAAAGTCTATAGTAGGAGCTCCTCTAAATTTTTTGATTTCAGAACGTCTTCGTTTTTCAAAAAGTCTTTGTCTTGCTGCTCTAAGATGCTGTTTTCTTTTCATTTCCAAAGTTTCAGGAGGTATTTCTGATGGTGTTTTTTTAAGAGCTTCAGCTAAATTTAATTGTTGAGATCTTGTTACTTCTGACTTGATTATTAAGTAACCCTCTTTAGATAATTTATTTTTGTATTGTAATGATATAATTATTTAAAACTTTTCTTATGTGAAATTAGTACTTATAGTTGTGACATTTGTTTGTAGTTGTGAAAAATTACATACCTGTTCCAATAATTTATTTCTAATATCCTCTGCTAGCCACGTAGCATTTTCTGCATGCAATCTTAAATCTACTTTGCTATTTGTGCGATTTACATGCTGTTCTCCAGCACCGCTGCTACAACTGTAGGTGGTATCAAGTTCTTTAATTAGTATACAGCCATCAAATTTAGCATTTGAATCATCATAACCTGTGAATGTTATACAATTATATAATATAAATAATTCTTAATTTCATAACGTATAAGATAATTTTAAAAAATTGTTTAGTTAAAGTTAGTTATGTTAATTTTATTTTATACATAAATATAAAAAATATTCTAAGCAAGATTTTGAATAAATAATTAGGGGATTTCGTACGTGAAATCAACAAAATAAAATGTACGAAATAGTAGATTCTAGTACATTATTAAATTACAATAAACTTACAAAGGTTGGGTGTGAACCGTATTAAATTGCTTGTGGGATACAATAAGCTATAGC